ACTATCATAAGAGCCACTCAACAAATCCCGGTATGAATCCATTCAATGCAACCAATTCTTTATAAAAAGTATTATAATACTGTACTGTACTGTACATCTCAAATATAATATATAATACCCGTTTTTTTCGTTTTACTTTATTTTTATTACTATTTCTCAAATTCTTGTCTCAATTTCGCCACAAATTTTTGTATCGATTTTGCGAACGAACAAAGTTTTGGTTATATTATATTCCCTGTTATTATATCTGAAAGTTTGCATCTCATTGAATGAGTCGTTTTTGTTTGTGTTTATTTGTTTCGCAAACATTTTATTTTAATTTGCATTTATGGGTTCATACAGAGTGTGAATTTGTCTCCATTTTCGGTAAATATATTCTTAACTTTTTTTGTTTACTTTATTTTATAATTAATTTTCATTTCATTAATTAAAGCGTGACTTCTTTTGTGAGATTATTGATGTCTTTAATGGTGTGAAAAGTGTTTTAACTACAGATTTATCTCTTTTTGTTTGTCATAAAGAATGGCATTAATAAGAGAGATACTAAGCAAACCATAAATTAATTATCAATTTTAACTCGTGTTATTACATGTTATGTTTTGTGTAATTTTATGTCAAATTAATATTCGTATTATTATCAAAAGCATTGGATATTCACAGATGCATTTGAAAGCATTATGTGTGACTTTAATAATAATATAAGTTACATTTATATATTTTATTTAATTAATTAAAAATTGGCGGAAATTTTACTCAAATTTGTTGCTTTAGTGTCACCATCCAATTCAGATGAAACCCGCAGACACTGAGAATCGGAACGGTATGTATGGCATGAATATAGACATAACTTTCTATTTTGATTTAATTTATTAAAAATGTTGAATGTATTAAAAATAGAGAGAAAACTATTCGTAGGAATGCTGGCGAAGACAATGAGTGAAAGCGATATAAAAGCCATGTTTTCGAGTTATGGAGTAATAGAGGAATGTTCTATACTTAGAGACAATAGCGGACAGAGTAAAGGTTTGTTACTCAATGCAATTTGTAGTTGTAATCAAATTAGTGAAATATGTGCCAAACGTTAGCTAGCTAATCATTAATTACACACACTTTTTACTCATCACTGAGTGATGTGTTGTATTATTAAACAAATTGATATACAATATTGAGTAATTGACGGACAAGTTTTCGACACATTAATAGTTATGACGAGAATCTCATGCGAAAACATGTCCGGAATTTTGATGAATCTTTTTGTTGCTCCGAATTCTTAACGTATTGGAGATAAAGATATTGCAAAAGTATTATGATGTTTGTGAGCACTAAATTTAATTTCACAAATTTAAACTTTATTCGCCGCTCTCATTGAAATTCTTTCCATAATATTATTGAAATATAAATAGAATATATTTCCAGTATATTTATGCTACAAATATAAAGGGAAAATATTTCTAAATCTTATCCAAACTAATATCAAATTATATCACAAATATATAGAAATCTGTTTATATTATGACAATAATTCTGTCTATAAGTCATGTTTTATTTAAAATTTTTCTTTTTTTAAGAGTTTACTTTTTTCTTATTACATAAATGATTATAAGGATTTTATTTATAGCAATATTTGAAATTGGATATGCTTTATAATTTTATCCAAAAGTAATTAATTTGAAAAATGGTGTATTAATAGTGATGTGATGTCAGTTATATTATCTTTAATATAATCTGAAAGTCTAATTAAATTTAAATTAATTTTAAACTTTATACAAACTTAAAATTTAGAGTAAAAAGAGATATTTTCTTTAAAAATGTTCATGACTTGTATTACTTTTGTGCTACTTTTGTATATAATAATACAGTTACCAAAAATATTTACATACGGTAACAATAATAGTAGTAGTATAAAAATATATTGATTTGTAAACAATTAAACTGAATGTAATGATAAAATTGATTTTTAAAATGAGACATTAAGATATTAAAATTATTTACTACATTTTACACCATTTGTTAGAAAGTAAAACATTATTTAATTAAGTATTAAATAAAAAGCAAAGTATTTTTAGAGGCAATTATTTAAATAAGTTTTTATATTTGATTCACTTTTCAATTCCCCTATCATTTTATTTTTGACTCAAAATCAAGACTTCCTTAAAGGCCTCCAAAATTGTGTTCTGAATATATAGTGAGTCTCTATTCGGTACCCAAAATAAAATAGACTGAAGAGAGTTGTTGTGTACTATCCTAACAAAAGCTCTTCAAACCAATTGATTGATCTCTTATGGAGTCATTTAAAACATTTCGCAACTCTTTTGACAATTTTATAATAATATTGACTAAATTTAGAACAAAGACTTAAATAGATTTTATTACAACTGACAATAAATTTTAGATTTATAAAATGATGTATTATTAACTCCAAATAATACTTTATAAGCTTATTATTGAAAAATAATTACTTCATAATATATTTATTAAGTATAATTGGTGATTTAAATCTAAAAATTGGTTTTTGTACAAATATAGTAACATTATTAAATGAGAGAAATTAATTATTAGACAATTTCCCCAAAAAGGCTAATTACCCTTGCACAATTGAATGTTATTAATAAAAACTTTGTATGCTTAAATATACAGTATAGTGGACTCACATTTTAACAGTAAATTATTTCAAAATAATTAATTCATAAGAAGTGAATCACATTTTTTTGACACAAAAGATATATCGATAAATCAAATTTGTTTTTTGAGTCCATTTTGATGTCTAAATTGTATCAAACAATTTATATGTATTTTCCTCCTCCCTGTCCAAAAGGCTGTGCTTTTGTCACATTCTCGTCGCGCACCAGTGCTAGCAATGCAATCAAATCACTGAATCATTCAACTACTCTGGAGGTAAGGACTACCGATATATTAATTCCTCTACTATTTTATATACAATAATGTTATTCCTGTTGACGAGTGTCTGTCCACTCAATGCATTGATTTCTATGTGTGACTCAATTGGTTGTCCGCCCATTCCCTGTACTGAACAGTCCTTTCACAACGATTTGGTTTTATATTTAACTATAACTATGATCTACAGCACGAGTACTGCACACAACAGTCCTCAGAGCACTTGCACACGAGTCGTTCACTCGTATGTACTCTTAAAAAGACTGATATATTATTGTTTGTGTCGATGTATTTGGTGTAGCTTTTGATGTCTGAACGGCTCATTTGGTCAATACATGAATTGTATGCCTCTTTGGCTCACATTTTCACATTAACTATGGTTTGTGTGGCGTAAACACTAAACCCTCTCAACACAGATTAACTGCACAACAAATTAAACAAACTTAGACTTTAGTTGTTTCAAAATATATTCCCTAATGTATTGAATTACTTGCAATAGATTTAAATTTAATGAATTTGACAATTCATGCAATTATAGCGGTGTGACGCCTCTGGATGCTGAAGTGGTAATCATATGCATTGTATGAGTGCTATAAAGCAAACAATTGCCAAAATATTTCAAAAACTTATTGCTTTGAGATGTCGTGAAATAATAGATTTCAAAGAATTGGCAATCATTGCTCACTTGGGGCTTAAATAATTAGGCAACCCTTAAGACAAATGCTCACAAGATTTTATTTGACTCTAAAATTGACAATAAGTTCCTTTCACTTGCATTACATTACACTTTTGTGTGGAATTAAAGTCTCTCTCTCTCTCTCTCTCTCTCTCTCTCTCGTGTCGGATCTTTTTGTCTGATGTGAAGGTTTAGTCAAACCTTTAGTCTAGTTCTTACTGTTATATAACGGAGTGGAGACAAGATTTATTTTAAGGGATAGTAGTTTCCAACCATTGAAACCAATGTATGAGTAAAATGAAGACTAGAATGACTGCCAAAATAAGGATAGGGTTCAAACTACTAGTGATTTTGTAGATATGAAAATAAATAGAAAAATATGAGTTCAACAAAAATGTTTGTATAAACAGTGTTTGAAGATCTGAAGCGAACAAAACAGCATAATATCTCTCATTTGGATGTTTTAAATAAATTTCTCTCCAGAAGTTTCACTCATTTATCATATTTTTGTATCGTTTAAGATGATTGAGATTTATTTGTAGTTATATTTAGTTAATGTTCTCTTAATTTGAATTAATTCTCAAACTTACAGAATATTCCTTTCATGTGTTGAATGAAGAGATAATATTCAGTACTTTTATTTTGTAATTATATTAACGTTGAATAATAATTATTTGCATCTTTTATTTAATGTCTTAATTACAGAATTGCAATATTAAAAACATCAAGACATTTTGGTGCTTACAAGGCCTTAATAACTAAACCTACAGATAAGAGTGATATTGCACATGCTACATTTTACAAATGGTTATTTTCTATTAGAAATATTAGTTGATATCAAATAATATAACATCAAGACATTTTGGTGCTTACAAGGCCTTAATAACTAAACCTACAGAAAAGAGTGATATTGCACATGCTACATTTTACAAATGGTTATTTTCTATTAGAAATATTAGTTGATATCAAATAATAATTTAGTCTATGAATAATAGTATAAAAATAAGCTAGCATAAATAATTCTACTGATGTACATCCGTAAAGATATAATACAAAAGTTTTTAAAACATTTTATAAAATGCTAAATTAAATTGAATATAAATTATATTGTATGCATACTAGTATTTTCATAAAAATAATGAGTATTATTTTCATAACTATTATTAGTCGCAATGATAATCACATACCAATGATATACGATATAATAATAATGGAGTAATTGCTATAAATCTGATCTCTGGTGCAATCATTGGATAGTTTCATATTTTTGGCTCACTTTCACTCTCTAATCATCTGTTGGTCTATTATTCCACTGATTAGCACCAAAATCATATCAAATATACTTCACTACTGTATAAAACATGTAATCCAATATTTGCGTCAAACTAGAGCATCATTTTTGCACAAACTTATTCCCATTACTATAAGTCATACTTAAATACTATTTTACGACACTTGTACTCTCGTTTAGAAACAAAATTTTAATTTCAAATCTAATATTTGTAGGCTAGATGTTGTAATCATATGTTTCTCTCAAGTTTATTAAATCAATAAATGAAATGCTCTGCAGTTTTGCCGAAACATTAATTTATAATAAAATAAATTGAGTTAAATAAAGGGCAGAAGTATTATTAATAAATACTCAAACATTTTTATTAATCCTGTATTAAGCTTTAGGCTAAAAAAGGCAATCATAAGAATCATAAGATTTTCGTATAACATAATAGTTGGCATTAATTCTCATCGTAGATATGATCTGCAAATGTCACGAATTAAATATTTAGGAAATATATTTAAAATATGTGAATACGTTTTTTGCTCTTAAAATATACAAATTTCGAGTATTTATGAAAGATTTTTCAAACCATCTAAATATAACTTCACAAATATAATACTGTATGTCATGAGTACAGTTTTGCGTATTTCGACAGCTATTACTGTTTTCAGTTCACTAATTGTTTATTTTCAATTTTTATACTAATATTTGTATACATATTAATTAACCCTCAAATAATATGAATTTTGTTGCTTTCAATTTGTTTTAACATACAGTATACAGTATAGTATATAAAGTGAAAATTCTGAGTGAAGTGTTGTTTAGTAAAAATCAATTACTGGTACAGAATTATTGTTGCACTACAGCACCGGTATGTCCTACTGTGAGTGTGATTCGTTGCAAATGCTGTACACAAACTAAATATATTGTTGTAGTATAAGTACAATTCATTGGGGTTTATGACACTTGTATTACATAAGAGTAAATCATTTTTGTGTCGATTCTCCTCTTTATACATATCTCATTCATCTCACTATAAATCAATGTTTTATGTGTGGACTCAACCAGATTTGCCATCAGATAATTGTGTACTCAACTGGATAGAGAGAGTGAAATCGTAACATATATTAAATGATGTTTTTCACTGAACTAACTTAAGAATCGTTAACTTATACTCTAAGCCATACATAATATACTGCAGACATAGGCTATAAGTAATACAGAGAACAGAATCTCTTAAGTCGTCTCAAACTTATTGTGAGCTTTGATTAACTGAATATAACTACAGCAAAGACAAGTGCTTTTCAAGTTTACTTAGGCTTTGGTCACAACTTTTTAATAAGCGATTCCATCACTACTGTATTAACCGTATTGGCCACTAATGTATTGCATCTATTGCTTACATCAAATACTAATGTTTTCTCATTTTCTTTATTGTATTTGTATTAATATCACACATTTATTACAACACAACATGCCATTTGGCTCATATGTTTTGATAAATTAGCATAATTTAAGTATTAATTGTTTTTTATTCTGCGTTTTTAATCGTGTCTAAGAAAGCGCCTTTTATTAAGAAAAATAAAACTTTTTACTCAACTGTTTATAATTTTATAATTAATTAATATTTGAGAGAATTTCTACCGTAGCAAACATTTGAGTAAATCTGTTTAAAACAAATTAATGGCACAAAACACACAGTTATTATGTAATTAGAAGAGAATTTAATTACTAGAGCATTGGATTGTAAGCCAAACTCTTTTGTATTGATTTTATACAAAATAATTCTTTTGTGTAAATATTGAACAGATTTTCATTACTGAAATTGAATGAAATTTTATTGGATTTGCATTTAATGGAAAAAGCATTTTAAAGTTATTTATTTTGATTGCCATTTGTGTTATTACTGTGAATCGCATACAAATTGAATTTTATATTTGCAATTCTATGGACATAAAACACTTTATATAAAATACATTTACTTATGCCATCATTTCATTTATTTTTATCCGCAATTGACTTGAGGTTAGCATTCATTAAATGCGAAGACAACAGCAAATATCTGAATGCATTATTTTATAAGAAATTCTGTTTATATAAAACCTTTAAAATCCTATTTTATTCTTGCAATTGTGAAAAGTATGAGTGTTATGTCATAGCACGTGAATGACACCAAATGAATGACAAATTATTAAATATGACAACCAATTGATAAATACGTCTAATATTAATTGAAACAAAATGTTTGTAATCATTGACAACTCACTTCTTGAATGAAGGGCTGCACGTCTTCATTGGTCGTGAAGTTTGCGGACACACAGAAAGATAAGGACAGCAGAAGAGGCAAACAGTCATTAATGCAAAACCTGTGGACACAAACATCTTCCCCGATGCAAACATCTCTTGTGGCGAATCCATACCTGACTTTAGCCGCTCTCACAAATGCTGCACAACAGCACCAATTGGCCACTACTCTGGCTCTTCAGCAACAGTGTCTCAGTTCAGACCTATCCCTGGCCCAAGCCTTATCTAATCCCGTTTTAATGGCTTTGACGGGCACTACGCCCACCAAAGTGGCCGCACCCACACAATCACTGTCACTAAATCCGCACTTTAGCTCAAATAAACTGGATATTATGTCTGGAGTTCGCGATCAGTTGGCTTTCACTTCAAGCCTATCGACGACACCGACACTGTCTGGTGTGCAACACTTGGCCACGTCTTTGAGTTCGGCTTCAAATGCCATTAATATCAATAAGCAAACGGAAGGGCCGGACGGCGCCAATCTTTTTATATATCATTTGCCTCGTAAGTCACTTCATTATTATTACCATACAGAGTATCTATATTGAAATATTTGTTTAATTAATTAATAATTTTTGTTTAATTTTCAGCTGAATTTACAGACAATGATTTAATTTCAACATTCTCTCCATTCGGAAATGTAATATCAGCCAAAGTTTTTATCGACAAAAACTCTAATTTAAGCAAATGTTTTGGTGAGAAAAATAATCAATTAGCGTATTATTTGTATTAAAAGTATTGAAAGAAATGATTTATTAAGAGATGTCTTAATGGTTAATAGGATTTGTATCGTACGATAACTCATTGTCGGCGCAAACGGCTATTCAGGCGATGCATGGCTTCCAGATCAGGAATAAAAGGCTTAAAGTGCAGCTCAAAAAAACTAGAGATAAACCTTATTAATTAAAATCACAATGAATTTGCCCATAAATTCTATTTGTTTCCAGACAACCAGACACAAAGACGGTAAGACTATGTCTAATATGTGAGTATTTCATCTTTTTTGGCAACTATTCCGGAATTTTTAAAATTATTTTATTTATTTTTTATTAACTCAAACAATACATTTTTGCTCAAATTATACTTTATTTTATACTTTTATTGATCTCATATTCTAGTCATTAAAATTGAAAAATGCTTGAAATTAGTTTTATACAGAATTTTTAAAATTAATGTTTATTAAATTTATATGAATTTTATATTAAATAAAGACATGCTGTAGTTTGTTGTTAGTCTCTAAAAATTTATGGAATTTTATTTACGTTTATATAAATTCTTTAGATATTTTTAAAGATAGTTATCATAAACACAAACAAGTTTATTAATAATATTTAAACGAATACTTTTGATATTTGATAGTTTTATAAATCAATTTAATATATTTTGATTAAATTTAATATTTATTGAAGAATAAAAATAATTGAAATCTTTGTGATTGAATTCATCTGAATTATATTCTGTTTTTATTCTTATAGATAATTCATGTCATGTCTCCTCAATGTCTGCCTATTGTTGTTTGGAGTTTGGATTTAATATTTAAGTCTTTTGTACTATATTTTATGTTTTTCGAGGCAACTCTTCATATAAACTAATGTCTAATTTGATTAATGGTCTCCATTTGTGTTGAAAATATATAATCTTTTTTACGGGACCAATGGGTGACCCAATAGGAGACCATATTCTGTGTCCAATATATTTATACAAATAACTCAGATGTGAAAACTTTCCCCGATTATTCTGGTCACATATTTTGTGTGTATTGTATGTGTTATAAAACAAAGTGCCAAAACATTTATTATTTATGTTTTATGTAAAAATATTTAGCTACCAAAACAACCAAATAATTTATTGTCTAGTTTTGACTATTTTAAGATATTGACAACATTTTTGTGTTAAATTACAACAGCTTTTCGTATAAACTCGTTATTAATATTTCATTTATGTTTTTAAATATTATAAGAAATATTTGTGATTTCGATCTCTAATTTCTAATTATCTTTCTATTAAATCAAATATTTTTCTTAATATTAATAATAATTAAATATGTGTTAAACTTATGAATCCATAGTCAAGAATATAAAATATACTTTCTTTCAAATTATAATTATTTTATGATTCTTTTTAGAATTTCCTATTTTCAATAAAATAATTTTAATTTAAAAAAGTTTTGTTATTTTTCATTTAATCTAATCTATAAAATAAATAAAAGTATATTAAGTATTTGAAAAAACTGGTCTCCAGGCTATATGTGATGAAAACTTTATATTTTAATGTTATGTATTATTCTTTGTGTTATTAATGTGTTTGTGTGAATCTATAGAATATTCTCTTAACATTACAAAATCATACATAACTCCAATTTAAATGTTTTGTCGAAAACCTTATTCGTGAAGATTCTGCAGACAAACAATTAGAAGACTCTTTCAGCAAATTTTTATCAATTTGTCAAAAATAAAGTTAAAAATAAATTATTGAAAATTGGGAAACATTTCAAATGTAAGTAAATCTCAATTCAAGGCCTTAGTGTTGACTGACTCGACGAACAGCTAAAGCTATTATAAAAACAAACTTCTGGATCAATATTTTCGCTGAAAAAACAATTACAACGAGATTTGCAATTATTCTTGAAAAACTTTTCAAGATTTCAGATTAAATTCTAAATTTACATTTTATTAAGAATTGGCAAAATTATCAACAAATCCTTAAACACTGTATTTAAAAATATAAATAGTTTTTAATTGAATTTACTGTTAAAATGTGTTTAAAGTATTTATTTGCTAATTGGAGTCCAAAACGGATTGAAAGTCTTCTAATTGAGCCATTTGTGTCAAATCGATGGTTGTGTTACACATCGGGCATATGGGCTCGTTTGAGATAAGCCGCAAAATATGACTCAAAATAGCCGGGAAGTGACAGTTAGGACAGACGGTTAGATCTTCTTTAATGATGTGAAGTCCAGTTGCGATACAAAAAGGTATAGAATTGCGACACTTATGACAACTCAGTTCTGTATCAATGACTTCGTTATCACAATACGGACAGAGAGTATGTATGAGATCGGCGTCCGATGTGTCCCCAGTTCTGAGATGAGCTCCGCCTGACTTACGAACCAAAGTCTCGATCTTTTTCTTAAACTTCAGGTCAATCTGATCCCTGTATTCGCCTTTCATTAGTGTCGTCGCAAACTCTAAGGACTCCCTCTTGAGACCAGCCCTTTGACACTCAATTACCGCCGAAGTCAGTATCGGAACAATATCTATGTTATAGAAATGTAAATTTAATGTAATTTTATGTTTTTTATGCTTTTAAGCCCTAACGCTATAATAGAAAGTTAGTCTCAACTCTCGTGTAAAACTTTATTAAATTTCTAAACGACTTGAGAAATGCAATTGAAAAAGTTAGTGATCTGTGAAGTGAAATGTATGTAAAATAAAAATATGTTGTAATAAGACTTATATAAGAGTACATACAGCTGTCATTCAATGTAAAGAATAGTAAAAACAAATAGAGAGTCGGCGGCACTCGTTATGAACGCCACTTATGACTGAATACTAACGCTCTGGGAATCGACTCAAATTGTTTGCGACTCTAATTAGTAGTTTAGCGCTTCTCATGTGATCCCCCACTCGGATCCATAGCTGTGATGAGTTTATGTCAAGAAAACACATGAAAAGCATAGATTATAAGTCAAGTTTATAACTTAATTGCTAGAATATTAATATACTTATTATATAATAATAATAAAGAATACCCATTAAAGAGTATGTGGCATACCTTTATGAGTGTATACGAGTGTATTAGCATTAAACTATTGACCATTTCTGAGGGGACAGTAATTTTTTGTCGTTTCAATTCCTGACACATACCAAACAGCAAGTCATGAGCGTTACGATAATTGCCGGCATTCTGCTCCTCTCTGGCTATGATAAGCGCAGTCTTAGCCGCCTCTCTGTAGTACTTAAGAGACATATAAAGTCTGAATAAGTATTTGAAATCTTTGGGGACGCCATCCGTTTCGCCGATCAAGAAGTCGATTATCATTCTTATGATCTGTTCGTCTTTGGAATCGGCGGCCGATTCGATGGCTAAATGCAAGGCTTGGTTCTGGTCCTCATTGGAGAGGGCGGCCGCTTGCAGAAGAAATTTGACGCCTTTCTTGTTTTGACCGGCGATGCAATAGAACTTTCCCGCTCTTAAGGCATCCCTTTCCTGTTCGTAATGTATGGCAATACTTAAGAAATCCTGAGACAACTCGTGATTGTCAGCGTAATCGAGTAATATATTGGCGTAAATATCCATTTGGTTCGTGGATTGCGCCAAACGGTAGGCCTCGTCGTGACATTTGGACATAACCAGGAACTCAATGGCAGAACTCATGTCATTTAGCTTCTGAAAGAACTTTGCGATCATTTTCGCGCCTTCTATTGATTTGCTTTCCCTCACAATCTTCACGGCTTCGCCCGGATTATTGAGATAATCCAAGTACAGGCGCACCACATCCAGCCATTCCTCTGCTTTTATGTACGCCTTAACGGCTTCCCTGTATTTACCCTCCATTTCCTTTGCCTTCGCGTACTGACTCTGAATTTCCTTATTGTCTACTTTTTCAAACAGATCCGATACTTTATTAAAGTTTTTCACTTTCATGTAGAGATTGGCGGCCCTCTCATAGTTACCACTTTTCTCGTAAAGCAGTGCTGCGTCTGAATACAGTTTCATTGAGTCCAATATTGTGGCGCATTCTTCCACAAGAACTTTATTATGTGAGAGTTGGGACACGAATTCAATTCCTCGTCGAGTATTACCGCAACGAATGGCATTCCTAGATATTCCTGCTTTGCATAACTCATTGTGACTCTTAAGGTCGTCTTCACTGAGAGAAGTAGTGCTGAGATCTTCGTCGCCAATCAAACCCTTTTCATAGTTGTCGAGAGCACTCGTATAGTCGCCGGTGAACTCCAATTGGACGGCATATTCCCGGGAAATGATTGGGATCTGATTGGGAGCCAACCGTTTAGCCAAAGTTAGCGCTTCACTCCATTGCAACAGATTTTGTCTCATTTCCAGCGCTTCCAGTGGTTGTGATGACGACAAGAACAAAGTCTGCGCCAAATCGTATCGATTGGAAGAGTTGGCCAAATGTCCGGCCAATAGATTTCGTTCTTCTATTAATTTCAGTTTTTCCAATGCATTCACAAAACCCGAGTTCTGGACGTGTCTGTAGATTCTTGTGGCCAACTCGATGTCCATATCATTAATGGCTGCCTTTCCAAATAAATCCCAGGCCTCACTATCGTTGAGATATTCACATATCTTCCATGAGTCCTGAAATCTGCGAAGTTTTAGTATATCCCGAAGAAGTTCTGTTTTGAGTCGAGTCTTGTCAGTCATTTTGTCTCCAAAATCATGGGTCGAGAGCACAAAATTAGATGTTTTACCGCTTT